AGGTATCGTGCCAGAAGATTGGAGAGAGGCAAACATCATTCCCTTGTTCAAAAAAGGGAACAGGGATAACCTCGGAAATTACAGGCCAGTTAGTCTTACATCAGTGGTGGGCAAATTATTGGAAAAGGCTCTGAGAGGTACGATTTATGATCACGTGGAAAGGCACAGCTTGATTTGTGATGGTCAGCATGGATTTGTGAGGGGTAGATCATGCCTCACAAACCTTACTGAATTCTTTGAAGACGTGACCTAACACGTGGATGAAGGTAGAGCAGTGGATGTGGTATACATGGATTTAAGTAAGGCATTTGATAAGGTTCCCCATGGTAGGCTCATGCAAAAGGTAAGGAGGCATGGGATACGGGGAAATGTGGCAGATTGGATTCATAATTGGCTGACTCTTAGAAGACAAAGGGTGGTAGTGGATGGAAAATATTCAACATGGTGCTCAGTTATGAGTGGTGTACCACAAGGATCTGTTCTTGGTCCTCTTCTATTTGTGATTTTTGTAAATGATTTGGATGAGGGAGTGGAAGGGTGGATTAGTAAGTTCGCGGACCACATGAAGGTGGGTCGAGTTGTGGATAGTGCGGAGGGCTGTTCTAGGTTACAAAGGGACATTGATAGGATGCAGAGCTGGGCTGAGAAGTGGCAGATGGAGTTTAACCCTGAAAAGTGTGAGGTGAATCATTTTGGAAGGACAAATGTGAAAGCTGAATACAGGGTTAACGGAAAGATTCTTGGGAGTGTGGAGGGGCAGAGGGATCTTGGGGTTCTTGTCCACAGTACCCTGAAAGCTGCCACCCAGGTGGATAGAGTTGTTAGGAAGGCGCATGGCGTGTTAGCTTTCATTAATAGATGGATTAAGTTCAAGGGCCTTGAAGTTATGCTCCAGCTGTACAAAAGCCTGGTTCAGCCAAATCTGGAATATTGTGTCCAGTTCTGGTTGCCTCATTACAGGAAAGATGTGGAAGCGTTGGAAAATGTGCAGAGGCGATTTACCAGGATGTTGCCTGGAATGGAGGAAAGGTCTTATGAGAAAAGGTTGAGAGAGATAGGGCTTTTCTCTTTAGAACGACGAATGATGAGAGGTGACTTGATAGAGGTGTACAAACTGATCAGACGTATAGATAGAGCGGACAGCCAAAAACTTTTTCCTAGGGTGGGAGGTAGCTATTACGAAGGGGCATAGTTTTAAAGTGAGTGGAGGTAGATATAGGGGAGACATCAGAGGTAGGTTCTTTCCTCAGAGAGTGGACGGGGTGTGGAATGCATTGCCGGAGAGGTTAGTGGAGTCGGCCTCATTAGAGGCATTTAAGCAGCTATTAGGTAGGCATATGGATGATAGTATAAGGTAGGGGTGGAGGTTAGATAGAACTTAGGATTAGTGTAAAAGTTCGGCACAACATCGTGGGCCTGTACTCTGCTGTACTGTTCTATGTTCTATATACCTACAAATGAAGTGTCAATCCAGTGAATCTACAAAACAAAACTACTTGCATGCCAAACAGCATGATCAGCAAGCGATAAATAGAGTTAAGCAACCTACCAGCAGATCAGATTTAAGTTCTGCAGTCTTGCCACATCTAGTCATGAATAGTTGTGGGCAATCAAACAAACCACCGGAGAAGGAAGCGTCACATATATCCCTATTTCAATGATGGGAAAGTCCAGTAATATAAAAGATAACACTGAAGTATTTGCAAAAATCTTCAGTCAGATATGCCAAGTAGATGATCCATCTAGGTCTCCTCCAGTGGTCCCCAGCATCCCAGATACCAGTCTTCAGTAATTCAATTCACTCCACATGACATCAAGAAATGGTTAGAGGCACTGGATTCTGCAAAGGCTATGAGCCCTGACAACATTTTGGTAATAGTACTGAAGACTTGTGGTCCAGAATTGACACACCCCTAGCCAAGCTGTTCCAGCACAGTTGCAACACTGGCATCTAACCAACAAATGTGGAAAATTGTCCAGATACATGTCCCATGCACGAAAAGCATGATAAATACAACACAGCCAATTTGGGCTCATCAGTCTTGCCTCAATCATCAGTAGAGTGAAGGTGCTTGGCAATCACTCACTAATAAGTACGATTGTGCACCAAAGAAATGGTCACTGGTCACAGGTTCGATGGGTGCTTCCGAGAGCAATCCTGCAGCCACATCTCCAACCACACATTTGGCAGGGGTTTCCGGGAGGTGTAATTGCTCCTTGACCTTGAGATTGGTAGTATCCCTTTAACTGGTTTCTTTTCTGTACTTTCTCTTGCTGATGGGTATTCTTAAAGAATTACATCCCTTCATATAGGAGCTTCCTCCAAGTCAATTTCTCCTGAACGAGGGTCTCCCATATGTTAATATCTATGCTGCATTTCTTGAGAGAAGCCTTCAAGAAGTCTCCGAATTGCTTCCATTGTCCTCTTCACATTCAAGCACCTTGGTCGAGCTGGGCAAATGTGATCTGCTTTGGTAGTCAGAACTCAGGCAATTGGAGCATGTCGCCAGCCCACTGGAGTTGGTTTAAGATGATCGTGGCCTTGATGCTATTGCTATTAGCTGCTTCAAGGTTGTTGTTAGTTTACCGGTCTTCCCAGCTGATGCAGAGAATCTGTCTCAGACAGCTTTGATGGTACTTCTTAAGCTTCTTGAGGTAGCATCTACAGACAGTCTAGATTTGGAGCCATATAGAAGAGTTGGAAGAATGATCGGCTTACACACCAGGTTCTTGGTATTAGCACGGATGTCATGTCGAAGACTCTCATCTGAAGGCTGCGCTCACAGATTCAATGTGATATTCAATCTCTGCATCAATGTCAGCCTTAGATGAGAGGTAGCTTCCCAAGTAAGAGAAATGTTCTGTGCTTGAGACGATTTACCAATAAGTGAAGGAAGGTGTCAAGGCTATCAAGCAGCACCTACTCAGCAATAACCTGCTCTATAAAGCCCAGTTTGGGTTCCGCCAGGGTCACTCAGCTCCTGACCTCATTACAGCCTTGGTTCAAACATGGACAAAAGAGCTGAATTTCTGAGATGAGTGAGAATGACTGCCCTTGATATCAAGGTTGCATTTGACTGAGTGCGATATAAGGAGCCCTAGCAAAATTAGACTCGATGGGAATCAGAGGGCAAACTCTTCCCTGGTTGGAGTCATACCTAGCACAAAGAAAGATTGTTGTGATTTTAGAAGGTCAGTCATCTCAGCTCCAGGACATCTCTGCAGGTGTTCCCCAGTGTTCTAGGCCCAATCATCTTCAGCTGCTTCATCAATGACCTTCCCTCCATAATAAGGTCATAAGTGGGGATGTTCACTAACGATTGCACAATGTTCAGCACCATTCACGACTCCGGAGATACTGAAGCAGCTCATGTTCACATGCAACATTATCAAGACAATCTTCAGGCTTGGGTTGACAAGTGGCAAGTAACACAAGTGCCATTAATCTCCAATAAGGAACTATGTAACCACTGCCTCTTGAAATTCAATACCGTCACTGAATCCCACTCTATTAATATATTCACAGTTACCACTGATCAGAGATTCAACTGGGCTCGCCATATAAATACAGTCACTTAACAAGCAGGTCAGAGGTAAGTAACTCATCTTCTGACTCGCCAGAGTCTGTCCACCATCTACAAGGCACAAGTCAGGAGTGTGATGGAATACTCCCCACTTGCCTGGATAGGTGCAGCACCAACAACACCCAAGAAGCTTAATATCATCCAGTTAGAAAGCAGCCTACTTGGTTGTTTATGGATATGGTGCCAGTCAGTTACTCCACCACCAATGCTCAGGAGCAGCAGTGTCTGCTATCTCCAAGATGCACTGCAGATATTCAAAGATCCCAGACAGCACCTTCCAAACTCATGACCACTTCCATCTAGAAGGACAAAGACAGTACATAGATGGGAACAGCACCACCTACTAGTTCTACTCCAAGCCACTCACCGTCCTGACGTGGAAATATTTCTATTCTTTCACTGTTACTGGGTCAAAATCCTGGAATACCCTCCATAATGGTATTGGGGGCATACCTATCCAAATGGACTTCAGCGGTTCAAGAAGGCTTGAATGTCACCACCTTGAACCTCATGGGCAACCAGGGCTGGGCAATAAATGTTGGCTCAGTGACACCCACATCCCACCAGTGGAAAAAAAAAGTCTTCTCAAAAAAACTGATAAAATTCAGTTAAAATCCTAAGCTAGCTTTTGACAGACCAAGTTCATACTTTCCATATAATAGCTACCACATGGATAATTTTAACTGTTATCAGTAAAAAATAGGTTATTTACGCAATTTAATACCTTCCCCAAAGGCAGTTTGGAAGTGCAAATCGTGCCAACCTTAAGTTTAGGGTATGGAAGCTCATGGACCATCTTCCCTCCTACCCTGCTACCAATTCAAAGCAATTAATGTCCATTTATGGGCCTTATCTCGCTGCCTTTGGCATTCAACTTGCAACAGAAAGGAATCATCACACGGGGAACCAGAGGAGCAAACCCATCAGTTTGCTTGCAGCTCCATGAATGAATTCCTCATTGTCAGACGCTCAGTGTCTGATTGAAGGACTTGGTGGTAAATGCCACAACCCTATCCCTGCTCCCAACGTCCACGTCCAAACTCCCTCTCACCAACCTGTGATCTGGGTACCACGTTGATCCTGGGCCTTTGGTGGGTTCAGTTCCACCACTGCTCCAAGTGATGCAGCCTCCAAGAAACATTTACCAGGCTTTGAGGGCAGTAGTTTTTCATGGATAGTATTTCCACCCCCGGCGTATTTGATTCTGGCGAAGACATATTACTGTCCACTCAAATGCTTGATAAGTAAGGCTCTCTAGATAAGACAGCAGGCAGGACCCCAGTCAACCGGATTAAATTCTGCCTTTGCGCAAGCACCTAATTGCTACTCAGAATTTCCAGATGTTTGGAACTGCTACTGGTAGGTTTAGGGGTGACGAGAAAAAAAATTATTTTTCATTTTATATCTGAAACTTACCTTCCACTTCTCTTTAGGCAGGAGCTTTACCACCACTATGTCACCGTTCAAGGCTCTATTTCGGGAAATGATACCATTGATAAAAATGTCTCTGTTTCCATCCTGAAAGCAACAATTTTAAAGGAATTAGTGATAAAAGCTATAAAATCAAGATAATGTCAAAGAACATTGGATTAGCATTAAAGAAGTAGGATGCACAGAAATGGTATCATGTATGGCCATAACCACTATGAAGTTTGTGTATTCTGCAGTTAGTTGACTATGTACATCTGTGTACATTTGATTTAAATTGGACAGTCTTGTCAGGACTTTTCCCAAAATCTGAATCAGCACCATGCCACAAAAAACAGCAGGCACCCCAAATCATGTTCAATAAACAACAGAATTATCCAAGTCAGGGGAATAAAGACAATTTTAGACAAAGAAGGAAGAACACTAACCAATGAGAGTAATTCACCATTCTCTCTCATTTTCTCAGTCATCACAACCAATTAAGAAATACAATATATCTATATCAAGAACTGTAAGCAATCCTGGAGGGCTGTTGGGTTGAACCACTCATTGGTCCCTTGATATCTTGAAAAAGGCATGAAACTTGTTCCAAGTAGTTGCTTTACACCACGGAAAGTTAAACCAATTAGAATGAACTCTAACCTGCTTTGCCGTTTCTAACCAATCAGGAAGTAACACAAGCAAGACAGAATTACCAATGCTCACATTCACTGGGAGGATCAAATGTAAAATCACAACTTCTGGCTGAAGATGATGATTTTGCAGTACTGCCAAGGCCAGTTTCCTCATTATCCGTACAAAGACAGAATTAACTGTATTATAGGAAAACTTTGTTTCACATCTACACGGAATAATTCCGCCGCCATACAATACATATATGCCCATAAAACTGCTTGATAAAACCAACGCTTCAATAACTCAGCCAACATTTATTCCCTGCCCCTAATTGCTCTGGAGAAGGTTGTGATGAGTTGCCTTCTTGTACTGCTGTAGTCCATTTAGTATACTTGCATCCACAATGTTGTTAGGGCAGGAGTTTTAAAATTTTGACCCCAAGTCAGTGAAGTAACAGTGATTATACTTCCCATTCATTAACCTGACATGGAAATAATCCAATGGCACTTTACTAAGAAAGTGTAAGAGATGCAATACTTGCCCATTACATCCTACTTTTTTTATCAGTGCTTTCAAGTTAGACATAATTCAATGTGCTTCTTTGAAGTTAGTATACTGCTATGTAGTTTCGCGACCTTTTTTTATTCTTTCATGGGACGTGGGCATCACTAGCAAAGCCAGCATTTGTTGATAATCCCCAATTGCCCTTGAACTGAGTGGCTTGTTAAGCATTTTCAGAGGACAGTTAAGAGTCAAGCACATTGCTGTGAGTCTCAGAGTCATACGTAGGCCAGACCAGGTAAAGAAGGCATATTTCCTTGCCGAAAGGAATTAGTGAACCAGTGGGTTTTTACAACAATCATTACTGACACCATTACTGACGAGCTTTATAATGTCGGAATTGTTATTATTTGAATTTAAATTCCACCAGGTGCCATGGTGAGATTTGAACCCAAGACCCCATAGCTTGGGCCTCTGGATTACGAACCCAGTAACATTTTGACTACGCCACCAACTCCCCATTATGGTGGAGAGACCAACTATAGATTGGGTGACTCCTTTGCACAAAGTCTCTAGTCAGTCCACAAGCCATATCATAAGCATCCTGTCATTTAGCATGTTAATTCTCCTTACTGCTCCCACTGTGATGTTTCTGCCCTTGGCCTGCTAATGCGTTCCACTTAAATTCAACCTAAGCTTCATGAACAACAACAAGAACAGAAGTTGCTGGAAAAACTCAACAGATCTGGCAGCATCTGTGAAGTGAAATCAGAGCTAACATTTTGGGTCTGATGACCCTTCCTCAGAACTGTTGGTAGCTAGGAAAATGTCGGTTTATATGCAGCAGATGGGGGTGAAGGGGGTATGGAGTAAACAATAGGTGGGGATTGAGCCCAAACAGACAGAACAACAGTTGGACGACAAAGGAGTAAATAATGAGGCTAAGCACCAGCTCTCAGATACCTCCTCCTATCTTCCCCTCGATCGTGACCCCACCATGGCACATCAGGCCATTGTATAAAACTACAGTCATTGACCTCATTTCATCGGGTGATCTCCCCTCAGCTGCCTCCAAGCTGACAGTCCCCCAGTTCCACACAGTTTGCATCTACCTCCTTCCAAAAATCCACAAACAGGACTGCCCAGCAGACCCATTGTTTCAGCCTGCTCCTGCCCCACAGAACTCATATCTTCCTATCTTGACTCAGTCTTTTCTCTCCTAGTCCACTCCCTGTCCACTTTAATCCGCTTTTCCTCTAACGTTTTACGCCAGTTTCGGAATTTCCAGTTTGCAGGCTCCAGCTGCCTCCTATTTACCACGGACATGCAATCCCTTTACACCAGGAGGGTCTCAGGGCTCTCGCCTCTTCCTGAAGCGGAGGCCTGAGCCATCCCCACCCATCACCACACTCCTCCGCTTGGCCAAGCTCATCTTCACTCTCAACAACTCTTAACTCCTCTCATTTTTTTCGGGTCAGAGGGGTGGCGTTATGCCTGCCTCTCCGTGGGGTACATGGAACATTCCTTGTTCCAGTCCTATTCTGGCCTCCACCCACAATTCTTTCTATCATCGGTGCTGCTTCCCTGTCTCATTTGGATTTGGAAAAGTTCATCAATTTCGCTTCCAGTTTCCATTCTGCCCTCACTTTCAGTTGGTCTATCTCTGACTCCTCCCTTCCCTTCCTCAACATCTGTTTCCATTTCTGGGGCCAGATTGGCCACCAATATCCACTATAAACCCACTGACTCTCACAGCGACCTGGACAATATGTCCTCGCACCCAGCTTCCTGTAAAGACGCCATTCCATTTTCCCAGTTTCTCAGTCTCCATTGCATATGTTCTGATGAGGCCCACTTCGACAAGGGAGCCTCCAAAATATCCACCTTCTTCCTTATACAAGGATTCTCCAGCACCATTGTTAATAGGGCTCTCAGCCGGGTCTGAACCAACTCCTGCACCTCTGCCCTCAACCCGTCTCGTCCCTCCCACAACATTGATTTCCCTCCCACAACATTGATAGGGTTCCTCTATCCATATCCAGAAGATCAACAGCTGCCATTTCTGCCACCTCCAACAAGATGACACCACCAGACACATATTCCCCTCCCCTGCCCTCCCTTGTCCACCTTCCATAGGGACCGTTCCCTCCAGTACCTCCTAGTCCACTCTTCCTTCACTCCCAGCACCCTCTCACAGCCCCACAGCACCTTCCCCTGCAACCAATATAGGTGTAACACCTGCCCATTTACCTCCTCGCTCCTCAGCATTCAAGGCCCAAATATACCTTCCAGTGAAGCAGCACTTCCCAGAATCTAGTCTGCTGCATTCGCCACTCACAATGTGCTCTCCTCTACATTGGGGAAATGAAGCGTAGACTGGGTGACCGCTTTACAGAACATCTACGTTCTGCTCACAGAAAAACGCTGGAGCTTCCAGTTGCCTACCACTTTAACACACCATTCTGTTCCCTGGCCAACATCTCTGTCTCAGGCTTGCTGCAGTGTTCCAGCGAAGCTCAACACAAGCTGGAAGAACAACACCTCATTTTCCACTGGGGTACCCTGCACCCCTCCAGACTCAACATCCCATGTCCTAGCAGCCACCCCACACACCAGGCCTTGTTATGATATAGTCTGCCATTACACACTACCTATTGTTAGCCACTAACAGTTTCCATTAACAGCTCCTTTGTCTGTCCAACTATTCTTCTCTCTCTTGGGGCTCTATCCCCACCTATCGTTTACTCCTTAACCCCTCCCCCCATCTTACCCACTGCTTATAAACCAATATTTCCCTAGCTACAATCAATGCCGAGGAAGGATCACTGGACCTGAAACGTTAACTCAGATTTCGCTTCACAGATACTGCCAGACCTGCTGAGCTTTTCCAGCAACTTCTGTTTTTGTTTCTGATTTACAGCATCCACAGTTCTTTCGGTCTTCATGAACAACACCCCATCTTCCTAAGTGATGTCTACAGCTTGCTGAACTCAACAATTTTAGATCATCATCTCTAGTTCCATTTTTTTTTTTGCTGGCTTCGTTTCTACCGCATCCTTCTTTCTTCCTTCATTTTGTATTTGAACAGCTGCTGTCCAGTCATTCACACCATATCTGCGCACATCTTTGTGTCTTTTCTTTACCCATTGCCACAAAACATTTTGCCATTTAAATCTCTTCTGCCTTCTATCCAATAACAAACCTTCCCTTTGCTCCTCCTCCACCTCCTTTTTCATTTCTTCAAATGCCATGACATTTCTCTTTTTCCCATATTCTGATGAAGGGTCAGCATCAGCCTGGAACAAAAGCACGGTTTCTCACCAAGTGAGCTATCTAACGTGCTAAGTACGTCCAGCATTTGCTGTAGATAATGTGCACATAAAGCCATACTTAAAGTGATAAATGGCCGTACATTGAGAAAAGTGAGACACTCAACATAAATGTAAGCAAGTACTTAAAATTAAAAAGATTTACTGGTTTCATAGAAATGTGTGGAATATGTCTAGTGATTGCAGCAAATATTGTAGAAGACAATCCATAGCTAATTGTGCAGAATTTTTGTTGCTGCTCTGCTTTATTTGGCAAACATTGTGTAGTGAAATTACAAAACAGCATCATTCATGCAATACCACAAAGAAAACCAAAATTTACTTCAACGTCTTATGTAAAAATATACTACGAGAGAGAAAGTATTTAACACACCATTTCTGAAACAATAGACTACACTAAACTGCATTGATCTACAAGAGGAAGGGAGAATTGTGCCAAAATTAGCTTTAACTTATCTTTACTTACAGGAGAAGGAACAAAAGCCTCCTGGTAATTTTTCGGATTTACTCTCAGTGGACCCTGTAAATGCCAATGGAAAAAGTGCCGATTTTAATTTTTCAAACAATTTCATTTGGAACAATTTATCTAACATTGACTGCTTCACATAACTTTTTTCATTTTAACGTTAACCAATAACTCAGCATGGATGACAATTATAATTTTCAACAATCTATAAAAGCATATGAAGAGCGTATAAAAATTGGAAATTAAAAAATTGGTTGTATTAAATGGTTACCAAAATAACACTTTCTTTTCACTGGATTGGCTCAACATTACGACAGTGACTACATTTCATCAGTTATAAAGCACATAGTAATGGTCCTGAGATCATGTAAAGCACAAGATAAATGCAAAAGATACTGTAGTCTATAATAATATATACTTTGGTTAATTATTTTCTAACAAAGAAAGGTTCTCCAACAAACCAAAGAGCAGCTCTTGAAAGGTTTCTTTTTATTCATTCATGAGATGTGGGCATGGCTGTTGGGCCAGCATTTACTTCAAATCCTACTGCCCTTCAGAAGGTGATGCCTTCTTGAACTGCTATCTATTTGGTGCAGGGCATCTACAATGCCCTTAAGGAGGGAGTTCCAGGATTTTGACCCAGTTGCTCTGATGGAACAGTAATAGATTTCAGAATTAAGAGTGGCTTGGTTGGGAACTTGCAGGTGTTGGTGCTCCCATGTATTTGCTGCCCTCGCCCTTTAAGATGGTAGTGGTCATCGGTTTAAAAGGTGCAGTCTAAGCAGACTTGGTGAGTTATTGCAGTGTGTCTTGGATATGGTACACATGGCATTGGTGGAGGAGTGAGTGAATGCTTGTGGATGTGGTGCCAATCAAATGGAAAGCTTTGTCTTGGATGGTATCAAGCTTCTTGAATACTATTGCAGCTACACTCATCCAGGAAAATGGAGAGTATTCCATCACATTCCTGACTTGTGCACTGTAGAGAGTAGACAGGCTTTTGGGAGTCAAGAAGTGAATTACTTTGAGCAGGATTATGAGTTTTTGACCTGCTGATCTGGCCACAGTATTTATATGGTTAGTCCAATTCAGTTTCTGGTCAATGGCAACCTGAGAATATTGACAGTGGGGGATTTGACTATGATAATGCCACTAAATGTCAAGGAATAATGGTTAGATTCTCTCTTTGTTGGAGTTGGTCATGCCTAGCACTAGTGTGGCATGGATGTTACTTGCCAATTGTCAACACAAGCCTGAATATTGCTAACCGGACATGGACCGCTTCAGTATTTGAACAGTCAGAAATCTGTGCAATCATCAGCAAATATCCCATTTCTGACTTTATTCCAATGTACTCCTTCCATCAATGCCTAGTTGCAACAGTATGTACCATCTACAAAGGCACTGCAACTAACTTGCCCATCACCTTCCAACACCTACCACCTGGAATGGTAATGACAATAGATGTTTAGGAGCACCACAACCTGTAAATTTCCCTCCAAAGTTGCACAGCACCGTGACCTTGAACAATATCGCCCATTCCTTTACGGTTGATGGGTTAAAAGCCCTTAATACCCTTTGCTGGATTCCAAATTGCTCCAATCTTCAGGCTTATTCCTTTTTCTGGCACTCTTATAATCTACTTCCTTTGATCTCATGCAATCATCAAGACCATAAGGCATAGGAGCAGAAGTAGGCCATTCAGTCCCTCAAGACTGCTCTACAATTCAATGAGATCATGGTTAAATTAATAATCTTCAACTCCACTTTTTCCTCATATCTCTTGATTTCCTTACTGATTAAAAATCTGTCTATCTCAGCCTCGAATATTCTTAACGATCCAGCCTCACCAGCTCTCTGCAGTAAAGGGTTCCACAGATTCACTACCCTTTAAGAGAAGGAATTTCTCCTCATTCCTATCCTAAATGAGTGACTCGTTACTGAGATTATGCCTTCTGATCCTGAACTCACCCACATGGGGAAACAACCAATCAGTATAAGTCCAACCTACTAAACATCATATCATAACAGAATCCATCCATACCTTGAATCAATCTAGTGAATCTTCTCTTTCTTTTCAAATACACGACATTGCCTGCCTACTAGAAGATCTTTTCGTGTATTTTCACAGTCTCCAATAGTTAACTTATCCTTCATGACTTTATAGTTTCCTTTGTTCAGTTTTAAGACGAGTTTCAGAATGAACAATATAACATGCTATTAAATTATAGTCACTGTTTTGCAAAACTCCTTTACTACCAGTTTGTTAATCAGTCGTTTCACATTACATAAACGTTAAATCTAAAGTAGCACGATCTATAAGCCAGGAATTCACACTTCACAACATTAGCAGTCATCTTGCAGTATGCAGTTTCAGCAAATTGGCAAATCACGTTTATGTACGCCAGCTCTTGGTGTCATTCATAACCCTCCCTGAACCAGCAGTGGTCCTCTGGCTTAATGGCAATGACAGCAGAAGTTATGGTGAGACTTGAGGTTACAAAAGGCAGTGCAATGTAATTCTGTTGCTGCCAATTGCCCACAGATATGTTTTGAATCTATTCTACTTAACACAGTGGTAATGTCACATAACACAACAGAGGGTGAATTCATTATAAAGACAAGAATTTGTTGTTTCCATGAGCTGCAGGTTTAGCACAGTATCAGGATAAAGAGATCAATCAGTTGGACTGACGAGGAGAAATTTCTTCACCTAAGGGGATGTGAATCTTTGGAAGCCTTTAATCCAGAGTGTTCTGGATACTATTACTGAATAAATTTAGGACTGACATAGACCAATTTTGGGGAATTAGAGGAGCAGGCAACCGAGAAAAAGTTAAAGGTGATGATCAGCCATAATCATATTGACTGGCCATTTGAGCCGCCAATAGGTTTCCCCAGGTCCGATTTCTTATATTATGCTAGTTTGTGCTAAATAAAAACTGTAGTCTATTACTTTGTGTCATGTACCAAAATTCAATTCCAGCTTAAGACTAATTGGATTAAAGTTTTTAAGAAGATTTGTAGCTCAGATTGTGGATGAGATTGTAGATATGCTCGCTGAGCTGGTGGGTTTGGATGCAAACTTTTCATCACCCTGCTAAGTAACATCATCAGTGCACCTCCGGTGAAGTGTTGGTGTTCTGTCCCACTGGTTATTTATTTGCCTGGGTTTGCTGAGGTGATTAGTATTACTTCCGGTTTTGATTTCTCAGTGGTTTGTACACAGGGTCTAATTCAATGTGTTTGTTGAGGGAGTTCTGGTTCGAATACCAAGCCTCCAGGAATTCCCTGGCATGTCTCTGTTTGGCTTATGCGATTATCATTGCGTTGCCCCAGCTGAATTCGTGTCCCTCATTGTCCATGTGTAGTGGGACAAGTAGTAATTGGTCGTGACTCTTGATGACGAGTTGGTGTTCATGTATTCGTATAGTCAATGTTTTTCCTGGTTTGGCCTATGTAGTGTTTCTCAGTCCTTGCATGGTATTTTTTGTATTACACCAGTTTTGCCGGTTTTGGGTACAGGATCCTTTATGTTCGTCAGTAGCTGTCATAGGGTGGTTGCCGGTTTGTGGGCTACTCTGATACCTCGGGGCGTGAGTAGTCTTGTGGTCATCTCTGAAATGTCCTTGATGTACGGTAGGGTGATTAGTGAGTCTGGTCGTGTTGCGTCTTCCTGTTATGGTCTATTTCAGAGATAATGGCGGATTGTGCTTTTCGGGTAGCCATTTCTTTTGAAGATCCCGTATAAGTGTTCCTGTTCTGCTTTGCGCAGTTCCGGGTTGTTGAAATATTGTTTGAACAGTGTCCTGATGCAGCTCCATTTGTGGGTGTTGGAGTGGTTGCTAGTGTAATTGAGTATTTGGTCCGTATGTGTGGTCTTTCTACATACGCTAATCTGGAGCTCCCCGTTGCTTTTGCATTCTACCATTACACCCAGGAAGGGTAATCGGTTGTTGTTCTCTTCTTCTTTCATGAATTTTATCCTGGTAAGGATGTTGTTTGTGTGTCGGTGGGTTTCTTCCAGTTTAGTGCGTTTAATAATTACAAAGGTGTCATCTACATATCAGGCGAAAGGTGAAATGGGTTGTGAGTCACAAATCTAGTAGTTTCATGGTGGTGTCCTTACTGATGTTGTTGGAGTCCTGGGTTGACTGCTTACTTGTTTCGTCTAGCAGTGTGGCAATTGTTTCTTTGGCTAGATTGATGTTTATGGATGTAAATAGTGCTGTTACGTCGAAGGATATCATAATCATGTCCTCATCTATCCTGGTGTACTTGATGATGTTGAGGAATCGTTGGCATGAGTGGATGGAGTGGGTAGTGTTGTCCCCTAAGTATTTTAATTTCTGTTGTAGTTCCTTGGCAAGTCTACATGTTGGCGTACCTGACAGTGAGACAATGGATCTGAGGGGAACCCCCAATTTGTTTACCTTGGGGGAGTCAGTAGAATCGGGGTAAATTGGATCCCTCTAGCTTCATTTTTTTGGTAGTCTGTCTTGCTGATTTTTCCTGGAGTTGTGTACTTTGTGTACTTTATGTAATCCGTTTCCTAGCTATGGGGTCAGGTCCATCACCATCTGTTGGTAGGTGTCAGTATCTGCTAGTAGTGCGTTAGCTTTCTCGAAGTATTGGGTTCTTTTGAGGATTACTGTCATGTGTCTTTTGTCTGCTGGTAAGATTACAATGTTCCTGTCTTTCTTGAGTCTTTCCAGGGCTTTCCTCTCCTCTCTGTTGAATGTGTTCCACATTCCTTTCTTGCTCAGTGTTGGGGCTATCGTCTGTCTGATGGTCTGCTGTACTTCTTCCTTGAATCCATTGTTCTTTAGTGTTGATTCCAGTGTAACAAGGAAGTCAGTCTTCTTGGCACCTCTGTAATTATAATTCAGTCCTTGTACTAGGATGATCTTCTCGGTGCCCGTGAGAGGTTGGACCGAGATGTTTTTAATCTATGAAATTGTGTTGTTGATGTGGGTGATTTTGGACAGTTTTTCTTGAAGGGATATTCTTTTCTTTGTTCTGGTCTTTTGTTGCTGTATACTGATGGCTTGTTCCAGTGTGAATATCATTTCTTGGGCAGTGCGTTTGAGTACAGAGCTTTGTGGCACGCAATTTCCCACTTGCATTTGTGTAGGCGGTTGTGGGCATGGCTGATCATAACTCATCACTCTGCGGCTGTTCTGTTCAGCTGTCCTCAGTGCCTGTAGGTTGCTGACCAGTGGTTTATACCTTAAGCTTTGTGGCAGTACCTGCTTTCTGAGGCATTCAAGCAGGAACTATAGTTGTTCACAGGTCGCGCTTAGTTGGATGGCATTTGTTTCCCATCTGCGGGCTAGTTTGAGGGTGTTTAAGGTTTGAGAATATTTATAGCTCGGGTCATGGATGAGGTTGTAGATGTGCTCACCGAGCCAGTGAGTTTGGTTGCAAACGTTTCGTCACCCTGGTAGGCAACATCGTCAGTGCGCTTCCGGTGAAGCGTTGGTGTTCTGTCCCGCTTGTTACTTATATGCCTCGGTTTGCTGGGGCAGTTGGTATTTCTTCCGGTTCTGTTTCTCAGTGGTTTGTACACAGGGTCTAATTCAATGTGTTTGTTGATGGAGTTCCAGTTGGCATACCAGGCCTCCAGGAATTCCCTGGCATGTCTCTGTTTGGCTTGTGCAATTATCAATGTGTCGTCCCAGTTGAATTCGTGTCCCTCGTTGTCTGTGTATAGTGACACAAGTGAAAATTGGTCATGTCTGTTGGTGGCTAGTTGGTGTCCAGGTATCCATATAGTCAATTTTCTTCCAGTTTGGCCTATGTAGTGTTTCTCACAGTTCCAGTTTGGCCTATGTAGTGTTTCTCACAGTTCCAGTTTGGCCGATGTAGTGTTTCTCACAGTTCCAGTTTGGCCGATGTAGTGTATCTCACAGTCCTTGCAAAACTAACACCAACTAGCCACCAAGAGACACGACCAATTCTCACTTGTCTAACTACACACGGACAACGAGGGACACAAATTCAACTGGGACAACACATTCAAAATCACACAAGCCAAACAGAGACAAACCAGGGAATTCCTGGAGGCCTGATATTTCAACTGGAACTCCATCAACGAACACATTGAATTCAACCCTGTGTACAAACCATCGAGAAACAATACCCAGAAGTAATACCAATCAACCCAGCAAACCGAGGAATATAGCTAACAAGCGGGACAGAACACTGACGCTTCACCAGAGGCTCACTGACGATGTTACCTAGCAGGGTGACGAAATATTTGCAACCAAACCCATTGGCTCAGCGTGCATATCTACCACCTCACTAATTGGATTAAACTGAATGGCAAGCAAAATCTACCAATAATTCAGTTAATGGTACTTCCATGTCATACAGTCATACAGTATAGAAACAGACCCTTCAACCCACTGTGTCTATGCTGACCAACAAACTCCAAAACACACTAATTTCATTTACCTGCACTTCATCCATAGCCTATGCCTTGCCATTTTGAATACTCATCTATATCTTAATTAAACGTTGAGAGAGGACCTGTCTCCACCACCCACCCTAGCAGAATGTTCTAGATTTCTACCACCCTCTGGGTGAAAAAAATTTCCTGTAAACCACTTACTCCTCACCTTAAACTTGCACCTTCTGATCTTCTAAATCTGTTATGGGAAAAGAGTCTCACGATTTACCCAATCTCTGCCTCTCAATTTTGTATACGTTGCTCATAATCTCCTCTCCTCCAGGGAAAACAAATACAGCTTATTCAGTCTCTCCTCATAACTGAGACTTTTCACCCCAGGCAACATCCTAGTGAATCTCCTCTACACCCTCTCCAATGCAATCACATCCTTCCGATAGCATGGTGACCAGAACTACACACTGCATTTCATCCGTGACCCAACCAATATTTTATAAAGCAGCAATAAGACGTCCTTGATCCTATATTCTATGCCACAGCTAATGAAGGCAAGCATCCTGTATGCCTTCTTCAACACCCTGTCTAGCTGTGCTGACACCTTCAAGGATCTACGGACTTATACGCCACAGCCCATTTTTCCCCAGTGCAGCCTAGGAACCTACTATTTATTGTGTGTATCCTTCCCTTATTAGATAATCCCAAAATGCATCACCTTGCACTCATCAGGATTAAATTCCATCTGTTGTTGCTCTGCGCAATTTACCAACAGATCAACATATAATGCATTGGATAAATTGACTTTCGATTTCAAATAATAAGTGATTTCAAACATATCTGTTGAGAGTTCAGGAAATTTTCAGCACATCTGATTCAGTGATCAGATTTATGACAGCACCCAACAAAATCAGCAACCGCTTTTAGCGACAGACACGGAGACTCCAAGGTAAGGTCATCTTGCTAGGGAGAGCATAATAGCAGAAAAGATATAAAACTAAAGCAAGATAAACAATCTACTTCCTATGCTCTCATTTAGTTTTACCAACATCACTGCAGCTATTGTGTATGTTACTTCTGGCTTTTCTCAATGTTCAAATTAAAATTGAAGTGGGCAAATTAATTGCAGCCGAATATAGCCACTGTTCCTTCAGTTGGTCCATTAATGTTCACAATGTTTTGATGTTACGTTCTTTACAATCATAACTAAACTAGATCAATTTAAAGTTTTGATGAATCATCTACACGTCAACTGGCTTATACCACTGTGTAATCGAAATCCAGCATCACTGGTTTTACTTTTGAGATTCAACAGGAAGTCAGAGTATTTTCATTTTTATCTGCAAGCCACTCAAATAAATTACCTGTATAAGTTCTCCTCTCTTTAAGCCAACTGAAACATCACTGCTTAACAAATAATTTTCAAATATCTTCTTCTTCCCCCGGCCAGACCTCCTTCGATTCCGTTTATCATTCGGAGTTGAACGTATGGCCAGATTTTCCACTGTAAAGAAAACAAATCATCAATAAAATTGCATACTTATCTCATAAAAACCGAAATGCTCCAAGGAAGGGTCACTGGACCTGAAACATTAACTCTGATTTCTCTTCACGGGTGCTGCCAGACCTGATCTTTTCCAGCAACTTCTGTTTGTGATATTTATCTCGTACTTTGGTTGTGAACTATCTTGGGTTCTTTTTCCTTTTTTAATCATGCTATATAAATGCAACTTATTTTTTAGGTGAATCATTTTTTTTTCAGACTGATGTGTAAAAGATTGTTTTGAGCATTACACATACAAACCAATGCAAACCAAAAGGTATGAACACTGCATCAAAGCTGTCTTCAGACAAAAAAGGCAGTTTTTGCAGCATTTCTGGCAAAATAAGATGAAAGAAATTACTGGCCTTTTGTGGCATTTCTTTGGCATGCTAACGGATTCACTATTTTATAACAGAATTGTTTATACACATAAGGGATAATATTTCCACCACTAATTTAGTGACTAAGTCAGTCAAATTCTATTTCTATTAAGTGCTTCCCTGGGATTTTACCTGTGCTTTGGGGATGTCACAAAGTCCATTGTCCTGTGGATATTTCTCTTTATAAATTATAATAAAAACAAGACACTGCAGATGCTGAAGATCTGAAATGAAAATAGTGCTGAAGAAACTTAGCAGGTCTGGGAACATCTGTAGTGAGAAACAGAGGTAACATTTTGAATCTCATGACTTTTTCCCAGAAACAAAAGGAGGAGGAAACTGAATGGTTGTATACTTTTGAGAAGAAGGGAGAGTCAGAAAAAGGCTAGAGGATAAAGGAGAGTAGAAGTCAGTTATGTATTTGCGTAAGTATGGTGGAATGTCACTAAGAGTCTGTGACATCACTGGCCATTTTGGGCAAAAAAAACAGCTTAGTCTAACCTTGCTACCTGTACAGTAAACATCTCCTGAGAACGCTCCTGCTGTTCAATGCTTCAGCCTCTTGGCTCTTCTTGGAACATTAACACAAAAAGAAAGCTTACGACAAGGATAAAAACTTCTTTGGAGATCCACCAGATCAATCCATTAGTACATTAAAAAACAGGATCCTCTCTGCAATTCTTGGGGGGGCGGGGGGTTACTTCAATAAAAAGAAGAAATAAAAAGATGCCATTGCTATACTGAAGCAGATACAGTCAGTGAAAAGAAAAAAGAGTTCATCCCATGGAACAGGTGAATAGTGCAGAAGCAGCTCACCATGTGCTCCACCCTGAAGGAACACTGCATAATGAGTACCCTACACAGGCAGAAATGTTTTGAACTAGGGGTCTAGTCTTGGGGAAAAAAAAGAGAGACTGCCTCAGTAATACCTTGTTTTAGACTGAATGAAGCAACATACTGCTAAAATTTTCATGGAACATCATGCTACGCAGGCCTTTCACATCTTAATTTTTTTTTTAAGAAACCATGGAGCCATATGATGAAAATTCTGAGAATTAGAATTCCTGCACACAAAAATTCTATTACTAGGTTCAAGCTAACAAAACTGAAGCAGATGTAGTCATCCCCGAGTATTATGCATGGGCACTGGAAATGCTTTTAACATCCCGAGGAGTCAGATACAGGCAGAAAAGCAGGGGTTCAAAACTGATGAAGAAATAGTAGGAATCCTACACTTTTCACCAAAACCATTGGTGATTGCTGGAAAATTCAGATTCCACAAACACAATCAGCATGATGGTGAATCTATTTCCCAGTTTCATAGCAACTTTAAAGATGTTAACAGAATTTTGTGAATTTGGAGATAGCTTAAAGTGAAGACATCAGAGACAGACTAGT